CACACACACACACACACACACACACACACACACACACAGCAGCTCAGTGATATCGCAGGTTGTTCGGTTCTTCTCACTGAGCCATGAACTCACGGTCCGGGCGTGTGCTTGACGACAGGTCGGTCACAGGAGAGGCAGTGGAATCTGTCCACGAGTCGTCTGGAACAAAACACAAACTGTCGTTTCCACGTGAGGAGAAATTGTGTTTAAGTACAAGAAGAACCCGGCAGGACTGAACACTGGTGTTTAAAACTAAGAGACACGTACTTCCTGATACCGGCGGCGTCCTCGTGTTCTGGAGCTCCCTGAGTCTGCAGCTTCTCGTGGATGTTCCTCCAGCGATCCTCCAGCTGCTTCTTCACTGAGTCCAACTCAATCCTGTTGAGCTGTGGTGTGAGCGGAGGTCAGACATCATCACAGCTCACAACAACGACATCATCATCTCTACCTGACCAGCTCAGACCCGGAGCGATGGGCTCTCTACCTTGTGCTCCATCTCTGTGGAGAGTTTGTCCACGACTTTGTGCCAGTCCTGCTCCTGCCCCGTCACTTTGAGCAGCAGCTCGTGGAACATGGCGTTCAGCTGCTCCGTCACAGAGTCAAACTGCAGACGACTCACTTTGTTGTCCAGAGCACATCTGTCAGCTTTCTTCAGGTGCGGAGGGACGGAGACGACAAGAAGTTTAGACCAGAAGACATGACTGAAAACCCAAAAGATTTGTTTTTATGTCTGATCTGTAGAATTCACAGTGAATATTTTACCAACCAACCAAAATATCAATAACCTGGATATTAACTTTATTTGGGTGAAGATTCAAAATGATTGTGAAACACAGATCTTCTGAGTGAGTGGATAAATACTGTTCATACATATTTTCAGAGTCAATATTAAAACCAAAACCTTGTTTTAAGTCATAAAAGTGTAATGATTGATCATCTGATCAGTTATTACACATTCTTCATCTTCATCATCATCTTCATCATCTTCATCATCGTCTGGTTGTTATTGTGGATGTGAAATGAAACAGTAAAGTTGAGTGGCTCAGTAAACAGGTTGAAGTGTGTTCACCTCGATGTGTCTCTGCATCTGTCGGCCGTCCTCCTGCAGACTCCTGGTTGTTTCCTGCAGGTTCTCACACTCTGTTTGAAGATGAAGCATCGCCGTCTTCACGTCGTTCACCAGCTCCTCGCTCTGACAAACACACACAGGCTGTACTTCTATCTTTGTAGGGACTCGAGTGTTCCTCTAAATGTGGAGGTTTAAAACACATTTTAAAGAGATTCTACGAGGAGGCTGCAGGAGAAGATCCAGAAAACGTCCAGAGCAGCTTCAGGATATTTGACTGCCTCACTTTTCCTTCACTCACCTTTTCCTGGTCACTCATCAAGCTGCTTATCAAAGCTGTTTGCTGCTTCAGTTGATCCATCAGGTTTTTAGACACATCCTGAAAACCTGAATATAACAACAAACCATTCAAACAAACACATAATATGTAAAATGTAAGTTTAACTGAAACAATTTAAAACCGTTTGAAGATCGAAGATTGTTGTGAAGCGTCAAGAACCTGAAGGAAAAGCTCCTCAGGTCACGACCGGCACATACGGAGTCAAAAGGTCTGAAGTGTCCTGAGGAGAAAGTCCGATTTGGACGAGCTGTCATTTGTGTGGACGGTTCTCCGGTGATATCTACCTTTGTTGGTGATGGCGTCTCTGAGCGGAGTCAGCTGTGTGTGGTCCACCTTTCCTTCCTCCAGCGCCGCCACACGAGCTTCCAGCCTGTTGAACTTGTCCTTCAGTCTGACGGCGTTCCTCAGAGCCTCCACCGTGTCTGAGTACAGCTCCAAGTTCCTGGACTTCCAGGATGCTGTTTGATTCTGCGGAGGCGGCGCTGACGGGACAGACGAGCTCTCTGCGATTGTCCGGGTGCTCGACTCTTCCCGGAAGATGTCTCCAGAAATGGCAGGAGAACGAGGAGCTGCTTTGCTGACAGTGTCGCTGACGGAGCGAGGGGAGGAGGTCGTGCTGCGGTCGGAGGTTAAACTGATGTTGAGAAGTTTGTGCGCAGGTTCGTCCGCCTCATCGACAACTCCGCCGTTTTCAAGCTCCTGTAAAAAATTTGAAATAACGAGACTCAACCACATCGATTTGTTTGTGCTCAATAATCTCAGGTCTGAACGTGACACGTCTGTGGACGGGATTTTAACAGAGGATTATTCAAAAAGTACACAATATGAGTACTTCAGTATTTATGGCATGAGTACTCTTACAAGTGTTTAGATCATCAGACACAGTTATTGTTCTTTCAACTCCTAAAGATTCTTAAATGTTTCCAGTTTGTTTGTGAGACACTTCCACTTCCTGGTTTCACTTTCAGGATTTATAATCTCCTCGTACAGAATCTTTGTTTAAAGTCACATAAAAACAAAACTACCTTTATTTTCATTTTGCCATCGTTAACTTCTGTGTGCATGTTTTTAAAATGTTGACCAGAGGTGTTTATGTATACAAGTCTGTCTGTCTGTCTGTCTGTCTGTCTCCCTGTCCATCTGTCCGTCCGTCTGTCTGTCTGTCTGTCTGTC